CCCCTGTGGTGGGAGTCGAGGTGCTCGTGGCTCAGGTGTTGTCTGGTGGCCATGGTCGTGTGGGCAGCGTGGTTACCGGGGTGCGATGTTCGGTGGTGGTTGTGTGCCAGGTTGTACCTCATTTCAGTGGCGGTGAGTGCTGGCTGGGGTGAAAACCCATTCTGACTTCGGTCAGGACGGCGATGGCGGCGTTTCAGCATCATACTCTTCTTGAAGGTGTTGTTGCGGTCACTTGTTATCTGGATCCGAGGGATACCTTGATCATTGGATCGGGCGGTGGCGGCGCTCCGGTGTCATGACCTTCCTCAAGGCGCTGCCTTGGAGTTCACGGTTCGTCATGTGCGGCTTCATCTCATTTTCGTTCAGGGTTGAGGGCCCCAACGGCAGCGCCAGGAAAAATACTCTGTGGGGTCAAAGCTTTACACTAACTTGTGAAGGTCTCCTTTCCCCTCCTCTTGCTACAATGTTTGCTACAGTGGACACATAGGCCAGCTGCTTTGGCGGCGGCGGGAGGGGCGCTGGGCCAGCGAGGCGACCTGACTTGGTGGGAAGCGGTTAGCGAGCTCTGGCTCCTCTCCTCCAAGCTCGTTGTAGCCTCCATGTCCACGGCTCTGGCAACGCAATCAGCAGCCGCCTACTCGGCTCCTGGAAGTAGCATCCCCTTCTCTTCTTAGCCTGACAGAGATTAAATATTTGGGGAATAAAAAAGGGGGATTGAGCCTTGCACTGGAAGAGGGATTAGAGATTCGATGGTTTGGACAGATAGAGCACGTGAGATGGGATGGCTTTCTTGATAGATGGCCAACCGTATGAGTGAATGACAGTGGGGTCAGCTGCTTTGACCTGTGGGTTCAGAGGAGCTACTCATAGCTGGGGTTCAATCGACAGCCAAGAACCTGTGGGGCTAGAGCTGTGGGGTCAGCTGACCCCGCAGCTATAATGTGGCTTCACCGTTGGTGGGCCCTAGTAACTCCATAGTAATGCTTATTGTCCACCTGATGTTTGCTTGGAGTTGTATGGGGTGGTGTTGCTGATTTCAGTGCCTGTGTATCCGGCCTTGGGTGGGTGTGTGTGTTATGGTGCCGTGTGTTTGAATCGGGTTGCATGATGGTTGATACGGCCAAAGCCTTTTTCTGTATATGGAAACCATCTTGAGATCATGAACCCTATATATTCACATGCATTACACTGTGAAGACTGGTGGACAGAACAGCAATCCACGCTCCACAGGGCACAAAAGAATGGTATAAACAAAGGAATAGGGTTTTTTCGATGAAGTGGCATTTCAGCGTTAGTCTTTATTGAATTGACTCCCCAACAGTGGTATTTTTCAGTTTTATTGCACAAGAAGCACCACTATAATTAACAAATAATCATATAAACTATCAAAAATATTTGTTGCAAATTGCTCTTGCGATACAAGTTGCTTTGGGGGAAACAAAGGGGCTCAAGTTACTTTGGGGAAATAAAGAGGCACTGATAACCCATGAAAGAGAAGAAAATCTTACTACAACATTGACATGTGTTTTCGAATGCACTTCGACAAAAATGTCATGGAACAACACCACATGCAAGTATATATTAGCTGTGGATTAAATGAAGGGTGTGTTCTATAATATTAACATCATGGATTACTTGAGTAGTCCAATTGAATTTCTATTTGTATCTTCACTAAAGCAATGCAATAAGTTTATATGTAACAGAAAATAAAGGCAGATAAATAACAATTCAAAGCTGCCTGATCGTAATAAGCATGGGAATGACTGAACATGGAGAATGCATACTAGGTTTCCACTAATGATCTCTCCATATGGATTTGATTGGTCAAACAGCGACGTGTACCAAACAAGATCAGTGTTAACTGCAAATACTTTTAAGAAAGCTAACATCTATCAACAAGCCAAGAAACCAAACTTTCTTGTATGTCTAACTGGGATGTACCACAAAATGTTTTGGTATAAAGTTATCAACACCAATAAGAGTTAATCATTTACATTTATAAATGATAGGAGCACAAATGAAAAACTCACAAGTTATCAGGATTATTCACCAAACTAGAAACAGTAGGCTTATCAAAAAACATATAATGTGACGCCAATAGGAGAAGAGAGAAGAGGGCAGGTATATACCTCAACAGCACATCAACATAACCCTCTACTACTTCATCCTCCACTGCCTCAGCACCGTAGTGGGCAACATGATGAAACAAAATACTGCGCTGACACCCAATGACCCTACATCCGTCAATACTGAACGAACATGTTCCCTCTGAGATTCTTTCACAGGCAACAGACCGACCACCAAATCTTCATGACTTATGAGCGGGAGGAAGACCAGCAAAACAAGCGCTCCAACAATGACAGGATCCTTGAGCATCATCTGCGCAACCTGGTGAAGAGTTTTCGGGGGGTCTTTGATATCCTTGATAAGAATTGACATAAAAAAGGTCAGAATGAGGTCCTATTATATGCACTTAAGCTAGACGGATGCAGAGACATTTAAATAAAGTAAATGCCAGTTTTGAATTCATGAAAATGATGGATCTTAATTTCCAACTGGGAATTGGCAACTTATTTAAACCGCATACATTGCAAAATCCTATTTCAACTGCTGTAAAATCTGTCCGGTTTGAAGCAAATCGGATCTATTGAAAAAGGCAACAGAGGAACATTTTCCGCGATTACCTTCCTGGTGTTGTACGCGGAGCGCACTCCGGTGGCGCCGACGAGAATCAAGGCAACGGGGGTGAACACGGCAGCGAAGATAAGGGAGTGGTGGGAGAGCCAGGACGCCGCCGCGAGCACGGCGGAACCCTCGACCTCGCCCAGAGCGCCGCGCGCGATGACCTTGGCGAGGGACGCCGCGGTGCCGACCCACACGATCCCGTAGTACAGGAAGATGAGCGCGTCCCACCTGGCGAGGGCCACGAGCCTGCGCTCCGACGCCGGCATCTCCGGCTCGGCGACGGTCATGGGGGCGGAACCCTAGGCGCAGGTGGCAGAGTTTTTTTTCTTAGATGCGGGAGCCTGGGTAGTGTAAAGTTGGGTTTAGCGGGAGCGAGAGGAGGGGGACGGCGGAAAACCTATTCGCCGCTCGCTGCGGCGAATTGTGGGACGGGGGATTCTCACAGGGCCGGCCCACTTCTACCTTTATTTCCAATAATATTTTTGCTGCCGCGAATTGTGGGACGGCGAATTACGGAAAACCTATTCGCCACGGTTTTTGGTACCTTCCAGAACATTCCCTGAACCGGGTTTTCGTGTGTTGTTTCTTTTCTGGTTTTCATTTGGTTTTTGTTTCTCTTTTTTTTTGGTTTTTTTTCTGCTTCTTTTTCTGTTTCTCCTTTTCTTTTCTTTTCAATTTTTAATGTTTTTCTTTTAACTTTTTCACTTTTTTCTCTTCCCAAAAATGTTCACAAATTCAAAAATGCATTTTCCAACACTTTTTCCAAATATAAAGAAATGTACTTTTTTCAAAAAAAATCGTAAAAATAAAAAATGTTCAAAATAAAAAAAATAGAACTTCAAAAATCGTTTGCTTATTTCAAAAATGTGTTCGTAAGTTTCAAAAAAGTTTAAAATTTTGAAAATTGTTTAACATATGAGAAAATGTGCACATTTTTAAAATTTTGCTCACAAATTCAAAAAATGTTCAGGAATTTCCAAAAAATGTTCTAGTTTGAAAATAAAATCACAAATTCAAAAACTATTCGGTAATTTCAGAAATTCTTCTTGTTTTCTAAGTTTGTTCATGTTTTAAAATTTTGTTAACAAATTCAAAATGTGTACCGGGAATTTTAAATGAATGTTCGCATTTTACAAAAAAATGCTCGTATTTCAGAAAATTTCCGTCCTTTAAAACTTAGCTCTTTTTCGTAAAATGTTCGGGATTTCCAAAGTCTTTGGGGTTTTATGAAAGATGTATTAGAATTTTGAAATTTTGTTCCCATTTCCTTTCTTCATAAAACTGTATGTGTTTCCATAATATTTTTAAATAATTTAGAAATCTATCCGGTACAACAAACTAGGTGCTACTATGAATCTGGCGGTCACGAGTTATACTCACTTCTTAAATTTTTTGAGATGCAAAAAGAAGTCAGTAGTAGCTGATGGTTGTAGTGGCTAGTAGCATTCATGGACAATCTGGCGGTCACGAGTTCAATTCCTTCCTCCATCTCATTTCCTTTTTTCGCACTAGCTAGCTTCGGTGCCCTGGAGTGGGCCGGCTCAATCACGGCGCCCCCTGTACATCGGCGTGTCATTGGACGCAACGAACGTCCAATAGGAGCTCCCGCAGACGGGGTCAGTTCGAGGGTTTGGGAGGGGAAAGAGAAGTGGTCGACCGGGTTCCAACCAGAGCTGGCCATCTGGCCGTGCTAGTTGGGCCGACCCGTTAGCATGCCAGCACAACACGGGTTAAATAGGCGTGCCCGGCATGTGGCATGCCAGGGGGCTATGTCTGGGCTGCTAGTCTGGGAACACGGGTTGGCATGGCACGACCGGTTTGTCTTTTTGATCATCACAGGGCAGGCCCTCCCGATTCCACAGCTATGGGGGTGGCGCTCGCCATGGGAACCTCTCCTCTAGCCAAGGATGACGAGCGAGATGAAAGGGGGCGTGTGGAGGAGAGAGCTTCGTAAGAGATAAGGTTGGGGGAACATCGGCTCGACACAGGATTTTAATAGAACGAAAATCATCGTAAGTAGTAGAGGGATAAGTACTTATTCCTGGCTGGTTGTATGACGGGACCTTCGGTCTAGCCTTTGTTTGGGTATGGGATCGACCTGGGATTCTTCCATCCGAGTGAGTACCACCCTTCTGATTTGATTTGAGTACGAGACCGACCTTCTCTTTTGTTTGTAAATGGGCTTGCCTGAAACAAAGGAACCATGGTGTGAGAACCCACCCAAGAGTTGGTAACCCAACGTTTTCACCTACGATTTCTCCATTGTCTTCTTTGCCTAGCCTTAGCATCTTTCTTGTCTGATCTTAGATTTCACTGTTAGAAAATAAGGCATTACCTGTCACTTTGCCTTTCTAAGAAGGCCTTTTCGCTTAGTTGTCCTTTCTACTAGAACTTTCCTTTAGCAGTTCTGGAACATCTATAGTATGCTTGAATGTCGTCATTTTTTATATATTCTCTTCCTCCTCGTTCATTAGTTTAGTTCCTTATCTTAGAATCACAAGGTTCGAATCAAGTGAAAACGGCTGAGGCGCAAGCCCTTTTCTCGCCACTACTCTATGTACCCAAAGTCAACAACCTTTTTGGCATGTTGGGCTAGCAAGTTCATTGCTTCAATGACATGAATTTCATTAAGTGGACAAATCCTATCCCGAAAAATATGAGCAATCAGCTGGAGTACTGCCTTTACTTCATCTGCCATGAACAGAGCCAAGAGGCTTGCGTTCATTTCTTCAGTTACTCGCCTATTTACTTTTCCCATTAGCATAGGATGAGGAGCTAGGACTTCTGAGGTGAACAGTGGTTGGCGGGCCCCAAAGAAGGCGGTTGACGGGGAGTAAAAATCGGTCGGGTGTTTCAAAGAGTTTTCCAAAATCTCCACGGGGTGCATCTAGCAAATTGAGCTGATTTGGGTCCGCAGTCACTTCCCGAAGCCCCCCAAAGCGACCCCCGTCTTCCTCCTCTCTCCCGCTAAACCCAACTCCGCCCACCGCCACCTGCGCCTATTGTTCCGCCCCCCATGACCGTCGCCGAGCCGGAGATGCCGGCGTCGGAGCGCAGGCCCGCGCCCCTCGCCGGGTGGGACGGGCTTATCTTCCTGCATTGCGGGGTTTACGGGGTCCTCTGCGCGGTGTGCCTCGCGTCGGCCATCGCGCGCCTTGCCCTGGGTCAGGCCGAGATTCCCCCGTGGTCCTGGCGGCGTCCTGGATGTCCGTTATCTTCATTCTGACCTTCACCCCCTTTCCCGCGTTCGTCGCCGGCGTGCGCCCCGACGCCAAGGTACGCGGAAAAGCTCCCCTTGCGCCTTCGAATATGTCTGATCCGATTTGCTTCAAAAATAAATAAATAAATAACCGACCGATTTTATAGCAGCTGAAATGGGGTTTTACATGTGCGCGGTTTAAATTAAGTTGCCAATTCCAAATTAGAAATTGAGATCCGTTGTTTTCCTGAATTCAGAAGCGGCTTCCCTGTATGTAAATGCCTCTGCGCCGGGCTGTCTAGCTTCAGAGCATATAATATGATCTCGTACTGAATTTTCTTTTTTGTCGATGCTCAAGGACCCTGTCAGGATTGGATGCCTCGTTTCGATGGCCTTCATGGTGCTCGGAACTAAATACGATTTGGTGTTGGATCTGTTGCGTGTGGAAGGATGTCAGAGGGAACGGATTGGTTCAATGGCGAGGGGTGTTGGGATAATGGGTGCTGGTGCAACATGCTGCTTCGTCATCATACCCACTATGCTACTGAGGCAATGGAGGATCAAGACGAAGTAGAGGGCTATGTGGTTGTGTTGCTCAGGTATATACCCGCCTTCTTCTCTGTCCACCTATTGGTGCCACGTTATATGTTTTTATGAGCATGCTGTTTCTAGTTTCATGAATCCTGATAACTCGTGAGTTTTTATTCGCGTCGTGACCATTTGTACATGTAACCGAGTGATACTTTTGATGTTGATAACTTTATTCCAAACAATTTTGTCGTACATCCCAGTTAGACCCACAAGAAACTTTGGTTACTCGGCTTGTTGATAGATGTTAGCTTTCCTAAAAGTATTTGCATTTAACAATGAGATTCTTTGGTAAAAGAAGTTGCCATTTGACCAATCAGATCCATACGGAGAGATCATCAGTGGAAACCTAGCATGCATTGTCCATGTTCAGTCATTGCCATGATTATTATGACCGGGAAGCTTGAATTTATCATTCAAAACCCACCACAACACACCGTAAGTGGTAGTCCTCAAATTTCAAAGGGCAGGGCTGTGGGGTATCTCTTATTTAATTGCATTATCTTGTTATTTATCATTTTATCTGTTACATATAAATTTATTGTCTTGTTTTATCTCCATGTTTATCTGTTTCATTTTAACTTATTGTCTTATTTTAGTCAAGATAGCAAATAGAAATTTAATTGGCTTGTTCCAGTAAACTATGATGGTATTATTAATTTATTATAGAACATACCTTCATTTAATTCACAGCTAATATATACTTGCATGTGGTGTTGTGCCATGGCATTTTTATTGAAGTGCATTCACACATGTTGATGTTGTAGTAAGATTTTTGTCCCTTCCTTTGTACTCAAAGTAACTTGTTTCGCAAGTGCAATCTGTAGCAATTTTTTTGATAGTTTATAAATGATTATTTGTGAATTATATTGGTGCTTCTTGTGCAATAAAACTGAAGAATACCACTCTCAGGGAGTCGATTCCATCATGACAAATGCCATTAGTTCCACTGTTCATACAATTCTTTTGTGCCCTGTGGAGTGTGGATTGTCATGCTTTGTTCTTTCCACCGGTATTCATAGTCTAATGCATGCGAATGGATGGGTTAGTGATCTGAAGATGGTCTCCATATATGGGATAATTACTGATTAGGTCATCTTTTACCATCGATTGTCCTGAAATTCAGAGTCCATTTGGGCAGTCATTTATAAATGTAACTGCGTAACACTTAAGATAGCTCCAAATGTTGAGTTTCAAGTTAGGCTGTTAGACGGGGCAAGAAGAATTACGCTTTATTTGTTGAGTTTCAATTGTTCTATTCTCCATCAGGTCTGAGGTTCCACACAGCCCTTCCCACTCTTCATCTTCAAAATCCCTCTCGCTGGTCTAGTTGCAGTGGCATGGCAGTGACCCTTAACATATTGGCATAATACTACTCTACATATATCAATACATGCATGTTCATAATATTGGTTGCTTAATATTGAGAAATGTCTCCATATCCTCATTCAAATGCTTGTATATTCTACTAATCTATATTTTTTATTGTTAACAGACATA